AAAATTTTTGAGAATCCTGGCGTAGAGGTGGATTCCATCTACAATGAAATCCAAGGGACCATAACAAATCTTTGTAAAGAGAATTTAGCAGTACAGAACACGTATAACATGTGGAGATAACCCTATACTACCTATAAGACCAAAGAAAAATTCGTTATACGGAGAAAATCGTCGTTGACAAGATCAATGTAGAGAAAGTCCTACACTCATTGCAAAATTGTCCAAGAGATATCAATTAAACAATTTCCATTTCTATGTAAATTTTGGAAGCCTCTCCATCTTGAAATATCGTATTTTTCAAATTTCGGGTCAGATGTTCTGAGCCGTAAACGTCTTCAAGTCAAATTGTCCGTATGTCACGGAGTCCTCTTATCTCGGGGCCACACTGTACTTTGATACTTTTCAAGAAATATTGAATCTACCAAGACGATGAAGAACCTTCGCTTGCCGTATTGGCTTCACTCACATTTTATTCATGACCTAAATTCATGTCCAACATGATTTGCGTTTGCATTTACTGCGATTTATACCGTAAGTAAAGTATTGTTTTGAAGTTTACAGTACTGTATTATTTTAAAAATGGATCGACGGAATTACTTGTAAAAATAAAATGGGCATATTTTGTGGATTTAAATTTGAAATTAAACCATCCCGAAGAACGCGATACTTATCCATTTTTCAAGATAACATATATTCAGATTATTTTCAATTATCGACGGAATTACTTGTAAAAATAAAATGGGCATATTTTGTGGATTTAAATTTGAAATTAAACCATCCCGAAGAACGCGATACTTATCCATTTTTCAAGATAACATATATTCAGATTATTTTCAATACGCTTTCCTTCCAGCAGTTCAAGTACGTTGTTATTCGAACATATCTAAAAATAATCAACTAAGCCTTTAGATGGCATTCATCTACTGAATTTTTGAATATAAGCGGAAAAGGTTGTTAATTTGAGCTTAAATTGACCAAGAATTTTTGACTTCTCTAAGACTTGATAAAATACTCACGTGGTATTTAAGAAGAAGCCCCCAAAAAGCATCAAAGGAATCAGGATCGGAGGAGCTATAGACAAAGCGGCGCCGACACTCGACGCAAGTGTCGAAATCATATACCCTGTAACATCCATCATATTGAGAAGGATGACGTCACTGATGTCAACCAGTAAACCAAAGCAAAACAAAATACAAAAACCAAGTAAGATAAACCCACCAAAGGAGCAAGCGATGTTGGCCACCAACACGACGACGAGGACGTGGATTAAAAAGCGGCCGAAATCCGGGTTCAGTCCTATCATCCAGTATTCTATTGACGAAAAAACAATCGGAAGCACGACAAATAGCGGAAGCTCGGCCAGAATCTTGGGGTGCTTCATTCACAGACAAGCCATGTAGGGTAATATCACAAGGGAGTCTTTGTGGCCTTGAAGAAGCGTTTTATGGATCTCATCCTTCGCTTTTCCTTCTATTTTTGTATCTGACTTGGTTTTTTGACTGGGGATTCTAAAAAATTGTTTAAAAAAATATCTACGAATAATCATTTCATTTGCGAATGTTAAATTGCGTTCTCTCAGATTATATTTGAGATCACAATAGGCTAGAGCAGTCCAATTCGAAATTATACAGGTTGCCGTGTTTCCTCCAAATAAATTGAAACTCGGGAATTATTCATCAAATGCACATACGATGCCCGGATAATCGGATTTATTTCATTTTTGCAGTAAAGACAATACAGTACGTTTGAAGACTAAATATGCTCAAGAAAAGGCTCACGTTAACGACAGCAAACATATTCGAGAAAGACATGTTCGTCAGCAACAGGAAGATGACACCGTTGACATTTTGAACACCTTTTTGATCCATGTCTTGCTGCAGATAAATCAGTCCTAAAATCAGAGCGATGACCTGGGGGAAAAAAATGCATTGAACTCAATGTTGAATCCAAACTTATTCCCTGTAACACTGTCATCATCATCCTCATCGTTGAATGATAGCAGACTTGGTCTGCTTAGAAGTCCTACTCTCCGAGTGCCTAATTGCAGAACCGGCTAGAGCGGTTGTGTCGGCGTTTAACCCAAGGGGTGCTACGGGCTATTTATGGTCTGAAAAACTTGTCCACCTGCAAGCGGTCGATGTAATGGCTGTTTGCCTCATTGGGGGTAACACCTTTCGGCAAACCCCCATTGGAAACGAGAGTCTCCTAAAGTTAGGGAAGCAACCTCCAAAGCTTACGCAGGGGTTTCGCAAAGTGCGCAAGGGCCGTAAGCCGGAGAGAAGGCCCCTGTTGACGATCACACACTTACTTCATTAGGCGGCCCAACTTCAATGGAGGACAAGGATAGTTCAACCTAATCGAGAGACACGGATTGATTGACATTTATGCCAGGGAAACAATTTTTTCATCTGGATTCATAAAATGCCGGGTGTCAATTAAACAGTTAACTCATTGTTTATTGAGATGACAACACGATGTATTGTAGATGCGTTGATCCAATTAAAAGCTAGATGACCTTGGGTATTTCTTGAGTAATTATAACTGTACATTTTTTATTTAGTCCACGAGGTTCTAAGGTTCTGGGGTCTTTTAAGATTTTAAAGAAAACATTGAATTTACTGCATCATGATCATAGTAAAACTTCCAGTTCCCTCCAGAGTTCTCCATCAACACCCATGTCACAGGATTTGCTAAACATGTGTCTGCCCAGCTAAAATAAAATTGAAAATTGTTTGTTATTTTAACCGTATTAACTTATTCACATCTGGTGAAATTTTCAATTTTTTACGGTGATCACTTTGTTAACAAAGAATTAAAAAAAACTTGTTTCTATCTTTTCATAATTATAGCAAGTCATTCCCAATTATTTTCCTTCATGTAGAGGGGTTCTCTACAACAGAATTCTCTATGCAAAAAAATGTTTCTGGTCCCTTGAATTTCGTTGTACAGACAAGAGTCTAGCACCAAGAGTAGTTTCAAACTTATACTGAACAAATACTAAAGAAGTGGCCAAGAAAATGATCAAACCAACATTCTATAAAATTTTTATCCACGTGGATACTGTGTGTATATCCGCATAACAAAATCCTGACACAAGAAGCACAGATGTAATGTAAAACCTATTATGAAACCCATCTCATAAAGCGGTACCCAACCAACAGCCCCCCTGCCAAAATCCCCCCCACCTTTTTTTATTTGGATGATAGTTTCATAACAGTGTGTGGTGGCCCAAAGAAGGGCTGTTTTGTTGCATTGGTCCTCAAAAGGACTATTTAATAATAATCTTCAAAATTGCCTTCTGTTGCCTCTTCCTTGCATTTACTACTGCTCTCCATATCATTTTTTCTTTATGTGGACTTCTTATCTCATCTCCTTCTTCCCAGAATAATGCAGTGTTCTTTGGCCTCACACATTCCCAGTGTCTAGCACTGGCTTTTGTGTTTTTAAACATGAATAAATAGCTATTTTAGGATGTCTTTTGACCACCCTCCTTATTTTTGATGATCTAAAGTGCCCCAGCCACTGCATGGATCAAGAAGGTAGTGAACTGTTGATTTAGCAGACATCAGCAATTAATAATGCTTAGACATCCAAAGAATCACTGATGGTCACTGCAGGTGAAGAATCCCTTTATATACTCAATTTATAGGCATATTGGTACTTGGCCTTGTGCAGGGCCTGCTGTTGAAAGGTGCAGCTTGCCATCAAGAGTTACAAGAATGCCTGTAATCCCTGAGTTTTGCATGAACAGGGAGGCTTTTGACCTAGGGGGGCTTTAGGCAGGGGGGCTTTCAGAGGGCGGGCTTTTGACCTAGGGCGGGCTTCTGGCAGGGGGGCTTTTGGACTAGTTAGTTTTTTAGACTGAATGACTGACTTCTTTCGTACGCGAAGAACCCGAGGTGGGTCTTTCCGTTGGGACGGAAGCCGCTCCTCGTACTACGCTAGTTTGTCTCGCTTATGGAGACTTCTTCCGAGATGGATTGTAGCAATTATGGTTTTCCCCTTCTCCACTTGCGACTTCAACACGGTCACTACGTTCTCGGCCATAAAACTATCCAAACCAGACGTTGGTTCATCGCAGAAGAGCAACGGGGGATCCGTGAGCACCTTTTTTTGGAATCACGACAAGGGATAGCATGTCGAGAGCCAATGGAAAAGGTTATTCGGGGGCAGGTTATATAGGGTGCCCTATCTCGGTACAACCAGGCACATCTCAGCTAGGAGCGACATCTATTATGATATGTAAGACCTCTTTCATCCGCGTAACGTGAATGCCATGTTCACTCAGTAATAATCACCTTCATTTAAGAAACTCACTTTAACTCTTGAGACGCGTTTATTTTAGGAAATCAGCGCTAAAATTTGAAGGATTTGAACTAAATCAAGCTAATTTTTTTTTATATTTTATTCTCCAGTTTTATTTCAGCAAACTTTCTTTAATCTTACTCGTTTAACTCCCTAAAATGTTATTTCTTAAAATTTGACTGACGAATTTGTTTTTAAAGGATAAAGAACACCGAAAAAGAAAAAAAAAGAATCAGAAAAATATACACTATACTTCAGTATGAAGTGCACCCCTCTTTTTAAGCTTCATTTTTGAGGAAACTGGGGCTGGTAATTGAGTAAATACGAGGTAGGGCATAAAATTGCACGCAAAAATGAGACAATCAAGCGGCTTTCCTGTTGAATCTATAAATCATATACTCTTACAGCGGGAAAGCGTGACTTCCTAGAAAGTAATCAACTCTTGGAATCCGTGACGAGAAGATCAGCCATATTATTCTTTCAATCATTCATATCACAATAAATGTAAAAATTTGATGAGCTGATGGATGGACGCTGAATGTGGGCAGTTTAAAAACTCGGGATTCCCACGTGCGTCGATTCAATTAATTTTGATATTAAATTTAGTGAACGTATTGGGAAAAGAAGCTGAGAAGAAATTAATCTCATGGATTCCATTTATAATTATAATGCACAATTTTTGCGATTAGAATCAAATCCATGTTGTTATTTTTAAACAAGGAGTCAGTATATTGACTCCCGCGCGTCAAGACGTTTCGTGGGATGTCTGAAGAAATGTTGCAATTATATTTCCAAAACTTTTTTTTCCTCCAATCACGTTCTTACCTCGCAGCCAAATGCGAGTCGTTTCATTTCACCACCCGAAATACCTTTAGTCCTTCCTGGTACACCAACCAAAACATCGGCGCACTTCGAAAGCCCCAACTGAAAATGCACAATATTGAATGTTCACTTTATTTAGGGCTTTATCATTTCATTTTTCTTTTACAAAGACGCGAAATAAAAATATAATTTGAATAAAGCATTCTCTATTATGGCACTTCACGAAAAAGAATATAATGAAAAGTTGTTGTCAAAAGCGTGACATCGCCAATAAAATTATACGTACCTCTTTCAAAACTTCTTCTACCCGTTCCATGCGGTCTTCTTTCCTTATGTGATTGTCCATCTTCAGAGTGGCCTATGTAAACATATTTAAAAAACAGAAGACCACTGTTAATATCTTGAAATATAAAATTATCTCGAAGAAAAATTCGATTACGTGTATTGGACCTCCTGGAAAATTATTTTTTCCGTGCAGTACTCCGAGTTGAAATTTACCATATAAACATATACATGTACCTCTCGCATGAATCACGATATGAAATACTGTATCATCAGACTCTTTCAAGATAATGTACATCGGGATTCAAACTCTTGAGCCGTTCAAGATATAGTTGGTCGCAAATACGGTATTTATAAAAATTAATTTTAGACCATTTTTTAAATCACAAATGATTTTTTTGGTCTGAACTTTGAAGTACTGTATTATGCATACATTTCCCCGACAAATGTAAGCCACTATAAAATGTAAGACGTCATAAAATATGAGACACGTCCTTATATATACAATATTTATGAGCCGATTTTGTGAAAACGCGATCCTATTACTTGGTCAATATTTTACGGGTGAACCTGGATAACTTGAACCTCTTTACGTCATACTTTTTTTTTTTTTTTTAAGTCCCCGCATGGATTTCCGTCGAAACAATGCATTAAAAACTTTCAAAAGTTGAAGGCATTTTCCCTCACACCTCCATAAGTCAATTTTCTGGAGGCCTTTTGGCAAGTATGTTATTGACACAGGAAAGAGAAAAGGAAAAGGGAATAACTTGATCTGTTCTGAAAGGATAAGTGTAAAAATAATTTGGAAAATAAACCCTTGCCTCCAATTTTAGCATCCTGTCAGCTCATTCAAGATTTCAATAAGCAATTTAAAGCTAAGAATATCACCAATTACAATTTCCTGTTATTCTTTGTCCTTTTCCCCAAAAAAAAAATTTATTCACGCATCCCAAAACCTCCCAAAATTAAATTTCTTGCTGGTCTCTTGAAATTCGACCCGAATATATGTTTGACGGTAAATGAGTTGAGTCTGGTTCAATAAAGTCAGCTGGTTTCCGATTTTATTCTCACCTGAAAAGCGAGGACCTCTCGCACAGTCAGAGTCCCTATAAAAAGATCTTGCTGTTGTACGTAAGCAGAGATGGCAGTAAGGTGATCAGGACCCACTCGCCTCCCGTTGGCATAGATGTCGCCTTCGACAGTGATCTTCCGAGTGTTCCTGAAGGTCAGCGAGTTCAACAGCGTCGTCTTGCCGGATCCACTCGCACCCATCAGGGCCAGAAGTTCACCGGGCCTAACTAGGCCGTTCACTGCAAAGGAATTTCAGGTGGATTCAATTTCCTTTGCAGTTGGATTCAAATTTCTTAGTAAGTCCCACTATACTTGTGGGACTTGCTAAACTCGAGAGCCTCGATGGGTTGACAATTTATTTAATGTCCAGTTTACACTATTGGAATTTTATACGCGGGGATACAGTACGTGATTTATGCAAGAGTATGAGCCGCGTGTGACCGCCTATATATATAGGCCGCACCTTGATTTTGCTTTGTTGACTTGCTAATACTGTCAGCCATAATTTTCGCTTTCGTTTTCAGGCTGTAGATTTGAAAAGGTCATTGACGAATAAGCATGATTATTTATATTTGACTGAGCATGCACGTTCATCATCAGTTCTTAGCTTAATGCGCATTCAAATGAGCATCAAAAGGAAAATTTATCGTCAGATCGGTCGTAGGAATCTTACTCCGAATCTGTAGATTATGTGCAATTTTATCAAAGTAAAAAGGTGTTCTGTCTGAAATATATTCTCAAGTGAACTCTCAATCTCTCTATACAACGATGTTCAAAGTAACCAGAAAAAGTTCGTCGCAGAGAACACGTATAACATGAAGAGAAAACCCGATGGGACCGAAAAAATAGTTATAAAGAGAAATTCAATATAGACAAGATCCTTGTAAAGAGAGACAGTCCATCTTATTCTATACAAACAAGTGAGGATTAATCCAAAAATGGTCAAGATTATATCGTGCTGCATCCAGACAAGTTCTGAAAGCTTTTTTCCAATCCATGTGAATTAAACTATATTGAGTTAAAAGTGCATACGATTTCACCCTAAAAAACCTCACTAAAAGTCGGACATCTCCCATTTTCTCGAAACGCAAAACCAGAGAGCAGGTGCAGTATATCCTTCCAATATCTGCCTGGTACGTGAAATATAGAAAATAGAGGCAGTAAAAAATGCTTTAAAACGCGAGGTTGCTGCACGCCTTTCAAAAAGCGACAGAAGCAATTTATTGTTGAGGCATCTGATCCAATGATGGAGATCCACGTTTTCTAGCTTTTCGGACTTGAAAAAAAAAATCTGACAGGTCTTGTCAGAGTAACAAATAAAGTGAAATCGCCCCCCGGCATGAAAAAAAATAAGACCGTCTGCCGAGAAATTCTAGAAGCAGCTTCTCGGCATCTCATCAGTCAAACCCGAGGCTAACGGACATATTTAAACAAAAATAAATTAAGAAAAAGTGTCCGAATTATTCTTCCACGTCGCGACAAAGCAGCGAGAAAATTTCACGAAGACCACAGTAAGGACTTGACGGAAATTTTTCCACTTTTATCAAAGAAAATGATTTTTTGTTGTTGGAAGATTCTTCAATTATAAATTCAATTTTTGGAAATCCAGTGAGTCGTCATCCAGTAGTTTTTTAAAGAGGAAACGAAGCTGCGTTCTTTTCTCGATTATATATTTTCATCGGAATCTACGGTATGTCAAAATTAATGTTTAAAAATTCTGCGACTACTCCTTTAGTTTCCGAAAACATTTGAGAGATAAATGCCAGTTCAAGTCGCACTTTTGAAAATTGAATAATGAGTCGCTCACACTTCAAGAATTCTTAAATTTCAAAATCGTATCAACGTCTTTTTTTTTTTTTAATTGTGCCGAAAATTACAAAACACTTCAATCGGCTTCAGTGTATTCATTCCTTTTTAGATACAGTAACATCTCGTTACAATGAAAGCCATTGGGACCAGGAAAAATAGCGTCATTTTCACAAAAATTCGTTATGAATAAATGCAAAGAAAATTGTCGCTACTGCTATTTATAGGACCTAAAAACAAATTCGCAGTGGGGAATAATTCGTCGAATCAAGATTCGTCGTTCAAAATGTTCAACTGTCTTGTTTTTCGTTGCATCCTGAATTTCTCTACACAGACTGCTTTGGTCTGATGCTCAATTTTTTTTTTTAAGAATAAAAAGGGAACTGCACCGAGAAACTATGCACAAAATCTCTTGTCTATCAACTCCAAACCAAAAGGGTGTCATTTACTGCTCTCCTCTGTCATTAGCTTCATGCAAGTGATGCCTTCAGACAATAGTCAAGTACTGTACGTAAAAAGTTGAACCTCTAGAAGTCTAGAGTGGACTTGAAGGTCCAGAGAAAGCTTCAAGTCCGGAGAAATCCAAGTCGGAAACTTATCCTAATACTATGGAGCTTGAATATCTAGTGTCGCGATCAAACGCATATATGCGAGCATGTCAAGTAGCACGTGTCCCATTGTCATGCTGAAGAAGCTTCACGCAAAAGCTATGTAACAAAAAAAAACAAAACAAAAAACCGAGTGTGGCTCGCTCAGCGAGTGGAACCCAGCGTGATGTTCAAACACGGGTCCGACTGCTGGAATGTGTATATATGAGCCATCTTAGAGAGTAGAATGAGTGACACTAAGACCGGGGAGATGATTGACGTCACCATGGCCACGAAATGAGCCCTTCTTCAACTGACTGCGGATGGTGATGTGAGGAAGAAGGCAAGACAAAAGTTTGTTTCTTCATTTACCTGCTGCATGGGCATATAAAAAGAAAAATAAATGGGTGCAAAAATGTGAGAATTTTGAATGGGGGCAAACCCCAACTCATTTCCGAGACATATGCACAGCTGTTGCTGGTGAAAGGTGACGAAAATATTTTCGCTTATTCTTTATACATGCTTAAAAACAAAAATAAAGGATTGCCAATTTTATCGAATATACCATCGAATATGTTTCGGGTGCATCATTTGAGTGTTTCTCGATGAACGCGTATAAATAAACATTAACTGAATACAGCGATGCAGAAAATTTTACTCCAAAGGCACTTGTCTTTCAAAGAAAATATTTGATAGAAATAAACAAATATTCTGAGGAACTTCGTTGCTTTTGCTGTGAAACATTTGAAGCTGGATTATGCTGGATAAAACTTCGTTGATTACAGTATTTCCTGAATAATTTTCAGATTTTAAAAGATCTCGGTTTTGAGGAATTTCATCGATTTTTTTAGTAATCTCACAATGAAAAAAATTATTTATCAGTGCGAAACCTTTTTTTTTTTTAGTTTCCTCTATTGCATTGTTTGTTGTAATTAGATTCCCCCCCCCCCATATTATTTAGTGAAAAAATCACAGCTGTTTGATCTCCATGACTAGATAATAAAAGACTCACCATTTTTCAGGATTTGCTTAACTTCGGGCTGTTTTCCACGAGAAAGAAAACCGAATGCTCTTTTCTTCGGTTTGCTGAAGACGTTAACGTTTTTCCACGCAAAAGTGATGGCTTTCGAGTCCACATTTTTCCGCTTCTGCGGCGTCAAATTCTGCTGCAAAATTGCAAAATATCATATTTTCAACATTCCCACGAGGAAAATTCAGTACTGTATTTTGTAAACGTTTTCAAGTGGATACTCGAAATTGTTTCGATACCGGCTCCTTTGTAAAAATATAAGGCGCGAGTGTGAGTACGAAAGATAAGGCGAATTTTACTCGTGACTTAGATTTGACAGATTATGTAATTGGAGCGCGGGAGTGTATGAGATTTCACTGCGCTCCAATGAATAAATGTATAGATGGGAAATTATCTGGATTTCACTCAAAAAGGCGATTGAAAAGAAAACTAACCTCGTCTCCGACATCGACCGCAACTTCGTTGTGCGGTTCATCAGATAATTCGACGGACGTGAATTCCGGATAGAAGCTTTCATTTTCAAACCCGCCTACACTCGTTTTTCCTCTATCCATTCTGTTGAACTAGAGTTATTTTGGAACACAAAAAAAAAATGCAAGAATTGTTTGCAGACAGTAGCTGTAATACAAGTGTCAAAGAAACACACGTCGTTCAAATATATTCCAGTGACAAGGAATTCGAGCAAGATTTCTTCGAAAAATTTCCTACTCATATAAATTTTCTTCCGCTCAGAGACGTGCATTTTGGATTAGCGTATGCGAAAAAGCTGCAAGTTTTAAATACTGAACTTAATTTCATGAGCCCATCATTTGAATATTTTACCCAGTGCAGATTCCCTTTGTGAACAATGTGGCGATGAACTTGGCATTACGTCATCTTCACACAAACGCCGAAACTTGACAATCGCGTCAGTCAAGTATTTTCTCGCAGCAAACACGAGAAAAAATATATTCCGTCCGTATGCATAATGCAATATTTTTTGTCATTTTTTTTTCTTACACGAGACACTCATCAACGAAATGTGAAACTATATGCATCTGAAATAGTATACATTCGGCTGCACCGGGCTGCAAGAATATTTCCATCCCAAAAATAGTTTTATTTCAACGAAAAAACATTTTAAATTTAAATTCAAAGTTGTACAACACTACTGTAATTCAAATATCCTAATTGATTGAAGAATATCAGTCCTTAAGCATTCTCGCAAATACATCCGCATGTTGCTTGATTATTAAAAAATAAATCCACTCATCATCTTCCGCCCTTTTTGTTTTGGCTACAGTCAAATTTCGCTATCAATAGCAAGATGAAGGTTATTTTCGAGATTAGATAATTGAGGACCTGGAAAGCGGTTATGTAACAACTTATTTTCGTTGCTATACGCACATTCAGCATAAATTCAGTTACTGTACTTGCGATTTCAAGAGCAATGAATTGAAAAAAAAACAGAATTTAAGGTCTCTGTTTCTCCGTCATTGAATGCTGCAGAATGGGATCCTCGGTTTTATTTATTTTTTATTTTTTTGCGGATGTTTTGATGTCTAAATCCCATCCAAAGCAACGGCTTCCTGAATTATCTATCGAACGGAGGAAATAAATGCAACTGGTGAATAAGAGGCTCTCAGGAAGTTGCTCTGATGCGACTCGGCTAATGCGCTTCCTTCTATCAAAACCAGAGACGCAGCTGGAGGCAGCATTTCCTTGCATATGAAACACTGCACTTACCTCGTCCCTGGTTGGTTTGCATCTCCTTGCAGAGGAGAAGAGGGATGGATGGGACACGGTCATGGATTTCAAAATAATGATGCAAAAATAATGAATGAACAAAAAAAAAAAAAGAAAGGGACACCGAAGCCCATGGGTTCGAAAGTTCCTTTCCTCGGGACGGCCGTGACCGTCATGATGAATCTTGATTCCGAGGTTTGGTGTAGTGGTCAGAAGGTTGAATCCCAGGTCGAACAACCAATTTTCATCGTTGACACTGAGTAAACACACGTGATTTTTATTTATATGCGCAATTATATCCATTGATCAATTGCGGAAATTTAACTACTAATGGTGCTAAATTATCATTGATTTCGTTTCCATTAAAAAGCGTCATCAACTCGGGCAGGGTTTTCCTCGGCACACAATTTTCAGCTAAAAAAATAAATTCGTCAGCTATTATATACTCGATAAGAGGTGCGAAACTGAACGACATCTCAAAAGTTTTACAATTGGAAATACGTTTAAATGAAATAAGAGGGTTGCTATCGTTTTCTCACCTTATCTATTGTAACAAAAAAAAAATCTCGGAAAACTCACAATAGCATGAAGACGTTGACACGGTTGAAAATGATTTTTCGGAGAGAAAAGTAAAATTCGTCCTTTTCTACGAACATTTATTGGCGAAATGCAAATGCTTTCAAAATGCTGGAGACAGACAATGGTTTTATAAAACCATGCATTTAAACTGCTCTTATTAATTAAATGCTGGGCTAAAAGAAAATTATTTAGATTGCATAACCCCTTCCCATTAAACAATTTATTTAAACTGCTCTCATTAAATAAATAATTGGTTGAAAAGCGAGAGAAGTAGCTCAGCGATGTTCCAGTTGATTTCGCTAAAAAAATACAGTAATACGGTGATATCAATGGCTCGAATATTTTTCTGCGAAAAAGTGATCCGTACTTTTTACACTCTGAAAAAAAAGAGCGCATATCCATGCATGAAAATTTGACGAAACTTTTGAGGAGTCAATTGACTATATAAAATATAAATAAAAACAAATCCCTAAAGAAACTTAGTACAGTATTACAGTCATACATCTTCGAGTCGAACTTCAAGGGACCAGGAAAAAATTCGACTTGGCAAGGTTTCAAGTTAAGGAAACAAGCATTATTTGTAAAGAAAGAAATAATTGCAGGATAAATATTGCAATTGGAAATATTCTGGGCTTCAAATTATTGCTTCTTGAATGAGTTTACATGATGCTGAACTTGGAAGCAAATGTCCATTTGTCAAAGAAGTCTTATTCCACTTCCTTTCAAAACACATCAAGTTACATTGTTATTACTTTTCTCTTTACTTTTTCAATAAAATAATAGCCAAAAAGCGTCCAAAAAATTCAAATTATCCAGGCTCTAGGAAGAAAGCCTGTTGGAAAAAATGGCGATTAGTGCCAGAATAGTAATCTATTTAATCCTCAGTCATTTACAAATTGCAGAATTTGTCTTTATCTGTGGCCTGTAAACCAAACCCAAGTTTGGTTCCCAGGTTCAGCAAGGCATTCCTCAAGAAAAAATCTGCTTCCCTGAAATCTTCTGTCATGGTTTAATCAAAATCTTTTCCTGGTTTCTAAATCTTCCCTATTTTCATCACTGTTGTTTTAGTTGCAATTCAGAGTTGATCTCCAAAAAGAGAAGCTATTTTCCAAGTGTTCATCAAAACTGCACATTTTGCATTTAAAATCCTGAAAAACCTTTTTTTCTGTGTATTCAAGTGTTTTAAAGAATATATCAACCTTATACTAGGACGTGAAAAGTCCTGACTGCAGCCCAGCTGCTCAACTATGTTTACTTATTTTGTCATCTCTTGAAAGATCAACTTTAGCCCACTGTCAAAAATTCTTATATCATCTTCATTTTTTGTATTTATCTTTGTGAGTGTACTTTTATTTTCTCACAAAGCCATCAGATCAAGAGCTTTTTAATCCTTGGGCGGCAAAGTTGGACTATTTTTTCAAATTTTTTTTAACCTCAGGGAAGAAAAGAAAAAATGAAAAGAAAAAAGAAAAAATAAGAAAAGAAAGAGGGAGCTGAAGACAAAGTTGGGAAAAATCCCAATGTTTTTTTTTTCCTTTTTGCACAGAAAAATTTTGCAGGAAAAAAATTATATGTTGAGCAGCTATTGGGCACAAAAGGCCACAATATAAGCTGATGTTGAGTATTTTGTCAAAGTAATAAAACAAATGAATGAGTCGGGGACTGGACTGAAATTATTATTGGAATTCCTACGTTAAAAAAAAGGATAGCACTGTATTTCACAAACAAGAATAAACAACACGGCAAGCTCGGGCTTGTAAGATGAGGATAACTTGAAAGATTGAATTGAATTTGAATCTTCATAAAAGGAGCATCTTATATCAACAATTATATCTTTCACCTTCACAAGGTTTTACTATGCAAATCAGAATGAGAGAAGTTGAGGACACTGCAGGATCCTGGCACCGTGATTTTGAGGAGGGGGAAATAGAATCTTTACTTCTAGGAATCGAGTATATTAAGAGTATTTTATTATACAGGGCATATATGCCCAACAGCAGCAGGCTTTTCTGGGATTAATCCCAACTTTGCCTCAGCCCACCTGAAAGTGCTTTTCTGACCTTCAGAAAACGGAAAACACCCCAGCATACAAAAATAATCCGATTTTGGCCGGCAATGGGAAAGAACCCTCTGCCGTCCAAGGGTTAATACAGTGTTTCTAAGGGAATACAGACAGGGACTTGAAAAAAAAAACTTCTACACAGGGCGGTATACAGAGCTGTATTTGACTTTCCAGGGGGGTTCGATTTACTGAGGTTCAACTTCATTTTATCCCGGCAAGTGATCTTCGGACCCCTACACCGCGAAAACGCAGCGTACGCATACGGACGTATTTTACTCGCTGATCTTCTCAGGGGGCGACTTTCAGCTTGATCGATACGTTGAACCTTCGTCCCGCAACGATTCGAAATAAATAAAAATGACGACCGCAGCCAATGCATCCCTGCGGCAATAATAATAAAAATTCCGTCTCTTCCTGTCGAGTGTCATCGGACGCAGGCAGAGGTATATAAAAAAAATTACGGTATTTTAAAAAACCTCCGGGCTCGAATCCCAACCATCCGGAATCCAATTTTATTACACCTCAGAGTGTCTTTTCAATGCCCACTAAATCAATGGATATCCCGTAAATTTGAACGAGATGCGGAAATCGAGCTTTCACGGGAAAGGCAATATTTGTACAAATAAGTCAAAGGTTCCAGAAACTTCATCGCAGGAGCATAAAAGTTGACTTGGAATGATCATCCATTTTTCACTCCAATGTTGAAGTATACCGTAATACAGAGACCCCGAATTATGGACACTCAAACATACAGACCATACAATTTAGGAATGTTAGTTAGCCAAGAAAAAAATAGGCCACTGACATCTGGACACTGACTTGAGTTATGGACACTTTTCCAACATTTTTGGAAGAATTTAAAATTTTATTTAAAATTTCAGTGTTTTGTTTAGAAATTGAGCTAAGCATATTCACAAATGCAGCTAAAAATAAATTTCATCATAAAATTACCCTAATTCATCATCAAAAATCAAACAGGCTAAGTTTGTGTTTCTTTTTCAGTTTTTTCTCCAACATGTGTGATCAGTACAATATCTTTGCTTCTTGAGCTACTTTCAATGCCAAAAGATCTGATTCTTTGTGGTTTTCTTCTACGCTTTTTTTTTTGTACAGGTGGTACCTTGCAATTCAACCCTTATCCATTGCTGGACTATCGTCAAATTGCAAAGCAGTTGAATTGCAAGACAACATCAAATGGC